CTATGTAAGCTCCATGATTTTACTCACCATAATCGTAGCTTGACCAGCTGCTCAATGCTAACTAGCATGACGCTTAGAGAGCCGGTGCATCGCAGAATAATAACTCAGTCCATCCATGAGCTCATTCGTAATTGACGTGCGCGCAGTGTTTCCGAGCGATTTGTGTGCTTGCTACGGATCAATGCTAGGGTGGCAAATTAATGTGTATGTTTCCAGTTCGATGGATATGTTTGAATCAAAAGGTTATTATCGCTGGGCCGCTAACAGTACGCATAAAATGTCAAGTCTGACATTTGAAACACAATGCTCAACGATTATCCCTCGTGTGACCACATTGCATTATGCATTCGAAGAGAAATTTCCCTGGAAATTCTGTGTCAAGTGAACAATCCGGACAATTAATCGACTAGCGATTATTACGATGTCGCCATTCCATGTTCCACTCCGCAGACTAGTCATGAGAGTGAGTATAGTTATAGTTCCGATTGTCCCTCAGCCATACTGAATTTACCGGGGCTTATGAAAACACACATACTAACCGGATGGAAGGCAGACGTGCAGAGACGCCTACCAGAAATTGCATTGCACATGGCCAATCTTTTGGATGGATTAAGTAAAAGTTTGAACCTAACGGGAATGGTACGTCAGTGTGTTAGTATATTACGTCGGAAATGAATCGGCGCATAGCGACAATGGTTTTATGAGCACCGAATGGCTGCACCCAAAACCTACGATATAGATCGTTAGCAAATAGCTTATGGCCACAGTAGAGTACACGTCGGTAGGTACAAACAGTTGTACTTGGACATTTGCATAATAACACTGTTTGGAAATTCGCATGTTTGACAGTGGGCAGCGGGACTTAGTTGATGTCACCTGTCAATACCAAAGGTTGCGCATCAATCGTTCTTTGAGTAGGTGCAATACGTCGGGCAGCACATCACCGAACCTGTCGGAGACACAGAGAGCCAGAAGTGGACACTGCATCGCATTCGCACGCTATGTGATCTCTCCTATCAGCTACTCAAACCAGACTGTACATGTAGATGGCAACACCTAAGTGCACACTATTTCACTGTACCAGTAGTCTAGTAATCATTCTACCTAGCAGTTACTTCACTATTGCTACATCGGGTTCCTTCAAATATGGATGCCCAAGGTTTAAGGCTGTCATGTCTAAATGTTGAAGAAAACATCAACAGCTCGTATTGGGTAGTTATTCTCATGCCTGCGAAAGTGATTGTTAGCCTGACCTCCAAACGAAACCCATACACGTTCGTCGTACAGTTGATGATGATGTCTAATATGTCTCTATCCAGTTTGTGACAGCTCACACTTAAGTTTGGATAAACGCATGTGCATATGTTGTATTCGAACTGCTATTGGGTACGGATGACGCCAATCTATGTATATATGTATACCGAATGAATTCGACGAGGATACCCATACCGCTTTTGTACGGCTAACTTGGTGCATGGAAACGGCACTCGAGCAAACCGGAAATAACATTACCAGAACATGAAGAAGGTGAGTTTATGACAAACTCATGTTGATTTCAGGTGTTGCGAATCCAAGGCACTGATCATAAGGGCGGTTGCTCAGGTGCAGGAGAAGGTACTATTGTACGCGGAATGGAAGCATGATGCGTACGTTCCCATTCGATTTACTAATCCAGGCCAATAAGGCGGCGTATGTGGTACGTTTGCATGTGTGCTGAGTAATCTTGCATTTCAGAAGTAGATGTTTGAGCTCCCCGGTGTGGATGCGCCTGATGTGAATGTTGACAAGGTGCCCACCTGTCTATTATCCACTACCGCGTCCATACTGGCTCCAGGAGACAGTTGGTCGTCGCTGGAGGGGAGGGAGTGCACCGTCCTCGTGACGGTGTTAGGCTCAAAGAGTGGTTCCATCCTGTGTAGAACAGGCTACGGTCCAGACACCGCCATGTGTATGTCTGGTGTGCATGATTTCCCAAGTAGGCTGGAATGCTTCTGTTCTGCTTGTTGAAGGAGTGTGGGCCGGCTCCGTTGATGAAACGTGGTCCCCATCCACATGCCTCCCGGTCTTATTCCTTCGGGTTTACACCGGATATGGGGTGTGTGCCATTAGAACCATGGCGAAATAAAGCGGGAGAACGAAATAAACATGTAGAAAACGATTTTTTCGGTCTTGGTATTTTTGGTTTTAAAGTTTTTTGTTCCTTCGGACGTTAACTAATTGATTACACGGCTGCACAGCACTGTCTCCACTGTTGCCGGTTGCATGCCATAGCTTCAAACGTTTCTAACCACTGGCAGTCCGAATCGCATGGTCCACCTCCTGAAAGGCTGACCTGTCTGATGGAGCCACAGTGCCAAAAAAGGACGTTTCCTTACAGTTCCTTTTAAAGGTGATATCGCCTTTGAACTGTGGATACGATAATTTTCCACCGAAGTTACCCAAACGTTTGCAGCTGCCAAGACCGCTTATTCTTCAGCACCTAAAGGACAAACTCTCGGTCCGGTCCAAATCGTTCATCGTATATCAATTCACTTGCACATGTGGTGCGAGATATCTTGAACACACGACCACGTGTTTATTCAAACGGATCGCTGAGCATTGTCCGGCTTCACTGAGAAAAGGCATAGTGAAACGCATCAGCAGTTCCATTCTACAACATCTAGTGGAAGCTGGACATCAATTGCGGATGAATGAAGCTTTTAAAGTCATCTATTCCATCCCAAGGCGCTATTCAAAGAATTTAAAGAAACACCCATTGGTGATCGCCGAAGCAACTGCAATTAGCGTTCTGAAAGCAGAACTGTGCGAACCACGAATGCTGGGACAAACCCTGACTTTGCCCTGGCCTTGAACCCCCTATTTAACATTGCTTAAAGTCATTCTAACATTACTTACCCGGCCATGGTCACGTGTGTTTTCGTATGTGACCTAGTCCAATTAAACAAAACATTGATTGATCTTTTATACTGCCTTTTTGTTAATTAGCTGCGTAACGTTCTGCTTCCGCATTCACGAGCCCATCCAATCAACATTGATGTTTTAATTGTAAGTGCCTGAAGTGAATTATCGAAAAGAATATTCTCCGCAATTGTTAACTTCTCAATCTGTGGGAACAATTTATTCAAAGTCAAAAGATTCATTTCAACCGATCTACTGTGTGCCAGGACGCCACACAAGAGCTGTCAGATGCTGTCTGCTGTCGATAGCAGAGGGAATCGCAATTCGGCTCCATAACCCGGAGTTATGCGCAGACGCTCTGTCTACCCTGGCTCCAGACTAACATAAGTAAGCAGACCTATCACACCATTCCCCCACCCGACTCCACACAGGTCGGGCTAATCATATAGCCTTACTGAGGAGATATTTTGAGTTATTGACGCCTGAAATTCACGTGTTCATTTTTTGATCTACATACTTGTGGTGATGACGATGCACTGAAAACAAGTTTGTTCGCTAAGTCGTACTTCTAATGTTTTCTCGGGGTATTATTTCACAATTTTCATTTTTCCCATGATTATTTTGCTGTCCATAGTCAAGGTAAAGAGAGCGATAGCACTTTTGTGCTCGAAGGAGAGGTAATCGAGTCAAATGAATTGCCAAAGTGAGTAAAACGACCATGGAAAAAATGTAATGCGAGTTGTGGCAAATTATGACGATGATGATAAATGAAAGACTTACTCATGTGCCGTGCATTACTTTAATATGGCGTTTCAAATCATAACGCGTGTAGAAAGAACGAACACACCCCTCAATGTCACAAGGGAAAGGCCGTTCACTAGTTTCATGCCGCTTTAGGTGCGCAACCAAAGCATCCGATCTGGTAAAAGTTTTATTGCAGCGTTTGAAGAAACATGTGTGCTTAGATCGTTTTGACGGAGGAATGTGAGTTTTTTCGTGGCGTACGAGATGGGATTGAAACTTGAAAACCTTCCCGCAACCAGAGGCTGTGCAACGATAGGGTTCCGTTTCAGAAGAGTGGGCTTGTTCGTGATCGAATAATCCACGTTGCGTGAGGAAGACTTTTCCGCAGCCACTATGAGAACAGGGATAGTGTGGACGGTCGGGTGCATGGGACTTCACGTGGTTTTCGAAAAACCCATGATGTGCGAAACGTTTACCACAACCAGGATGATTACACACAAATACTAAGTTCTTTTTGTGAGTCTCGGAATGTTCAAGCAATTTTCTGCGAGTTTTGAAAGATAATTTACATCCAAGGTGCTCACACTGAAAGGCCAATAATCCGAGTTTTCTATAATGAGTTTCTTCATGACGACTACGGTCGGAATCATACGTAAACACACGACCGCAATTTTTGAATCTGCACTTTTTTCCTTCATCCGAAAAGTGATTAATTTTGTGTTTTTTTAAACTATCCGATTGCTGAAAAGATTTGCCACAAAAACAAACAAAAGGTCGGTCAGATGTAGTAGAGTAATCAGTTGTATCTGTTGCGCTGGATCTCCTGGAAAGAACGTCTCTCGTAAGATTGGCCAAATCGATAACATCGTCACCACCGGAAGAACGATCTGATGTAGAAACCATTCATAAAGAAATTAACCAGATTGCTTCGAGATGGAATGACGAAGTGCCTGAAGACAAAAAAGTGAACTCATAAGCAAAACACAACTATGAACCGCTATTGCAAACATAATACGACCCTAAGGGTTTCAAAAGGCAAGTAGAATCCGTCTTTACGCAAATACGCGCATGAGATAACAGACAACGAATGGCTGCCAGTAGAGACACTTTAGCAATAACGTTACAAGTGGCTGTCACAATACATAAGACAGAAACGACAGAGAACTAAAGGGAAAACGATGGTTAGCGAAGAAGTCTCACAGCAAGTGCGCCATTGCGTACGATGCTTGACCATATCCAGTAACGTTTGAAACCAGATATACACGGGATCCCTTGGTACCCAAACTGGGAGTCGAGAACGACCAACAACATCAAGCTTCGACGTTTGCGTCTTAACGCACTGGATCCAAGTTTTACACTGGCCTCCTTGTCGTCGCTTCCGTCCCACGCCTGCGCTCGCAAATATGGCATGTCATGGTAGACGCTGAGCAGGCATGCGAAGCACATGCCCAAGCCAACCAAGCCGCCGCAATAAAATAAAGCTGTCAATCGGTAGGCGGAGTTTGTCAGATTTGAAGACTCGCCGACAGACTCATTACCGATGTGATGCTTCCAGCGAATATCAGCAATGCCTCGCAGGCAGCAATGATCAAGAACAGATAGCCGCTGAACATCGTTTTATCCGCACAGCAGAATCGCTCATACCGAAGCATTGTAGACTCATCCCTTGAGAGCAAGGCTGAGGTCATGAGGAAGCCATAGGTGACGGAGGTCAGCAAAAGCTACTCCAGTATTGGAGACACGCAAGATCTCATCCGTCAAACCGCCAGTACTAAAATAACTCTCAAGGTAAATGAATTTGATGAGCACTCCCCAGAAACGGTGAGAAAAATAGATGCACTTGGCCAGTCCTGTGACAGGACCTTAAACTTGGAATGGGGCAAAGATCAACCCACATCAGGGGGCGAACATCTCTAATATGAGCAGCGACTGATGCGTGGCCTGGAAGGACTCGCAAATCACAGCGATGTCATCGGCGTACTCCAAGTCGCAAACCCGTTCACCCAGGAGCAGTCCGACGCCGCAGGACCCAGAGTTTTTCAGGGCAGTATCCAGGAGCTCGTCCATGGCGAAGTTGAGCAAGAATGGAGGTCTGGCAACCCTGTCTAACACCAATAGTGATATTGAACGGGGGTGAATAGTCTCCGTATACTTGCACGCGTCCCAAGTTTGATGGTAAATGGCACGGAGAATGCTGATGTACTTCTCAGGTACTCGTTCTTCAGCAAGTAGTCACAAAGAGCCACCCTGTCAACAGAGTCAAAAGCGGCCCGAATATCCAAGAATATGAGTATGGTTGGTCGACTGAAAATATGGTGGTGTTCAAGTATCAGACGGATCGTAAAGATGTGATCGACGCAATTGCGACTTGGGCGAAACTCAGCTAGCTGTTCACGCAGGTGCCGTTCCCGTACGCAACGGAGTCTCCGCAAGGAAGGAGAAGCGAGCAATCTGGATGCAACACAAGTGAGGTTGATACCATGATGATGGGAGCAAACGGTTGAGTCTCCATTTTGCAGACATATTTTGAACATCTGCTAATTTCCAGTCGGATGGCTTGGTTTCGGGGGTCCAAATCCAATGGAAGAGGGATGTCAATTCACTGGTGAGAGCAGGACCCATATTTGAAGAAGGCAGGAGGAAGCTCATATAGGTTAGGTGACTTGTGGCGCTCTAGCGAGCAAGCTCATGGGAAATCTCCGCCACGCAAATGGGAGTACTGTGAATCCCGGGAGTTGGACTCGGTTGCAATGCTGGCCAGATGAACTGATCATTGAAGTGATTAACACAGCCTACGACGCAAAACCTCACTCACTACTGGCCTTCTTCCTCCTGTGGACGGAATCAGCTGGAAGCGTTTGCGGGAGTTTCCAGAGCAGGCTGCCCGCTCCATCTCAAGATGCGTTGTGTGCACCAGACTACGCGATTCTTTCTGAGAAGCTGTCTAAGGTAAGAACCTTTGGTACTGCGCAGTGTGTTGTATATATATTTCGTTTCATGCCCTATGCTGAGGCTGATGTTGCATTCTTGATGCTTCTTCACCACAGTTGGGCTAAACCAAGTTACACTTAAATTAGATCTTTTCAATCTGGATAAATTTCATTCCAGTTTAATTAGTTCCTTCTGATTACCTAAATAACCTATTAACTTGCACACGTTGCTTACGCCAATTGCGCTTATCTTCGATAACTTTAGTGCATTTGTAGCATATTTCCAATAACTTCTGGACATTTTGTACTTGTTGCTTATTCGTTGATACCCGACTTACTTCATATGCTAATTTAGCGCAGTTATGTCTGCATAGCCTTATGCTTAAATAGATATACTTTTTTAAAACGTTATTCCAAGTGATTGGCTGTTGCTTGATACCCACCGGTGTGGCTGCGCTTGATGTGCATGTTGACAAGGTGCCTACCTGTCTATTACCCACTACCTCGTCCATACTGGCTCCAGGAGACAGTTGGTCGTTCCTGGAGGGCACGGGGTGCACGGTCCTTGTGGCCGTGCTAGGCTCGAAGAGTGGTTCCATGCACTCAGTGTGGAGCGGACTACGGTCCAACCACCGCCTTGTGTACAATTGATTCCCAAATACAGCGCCCTTGTGTTTGCTTGTGAAGGAGTGTGGGCCGGCTCCGTTGATGAAACGTGGCTCCCATCCACATGCCTCCCGGTCTTATTCCTTCGGATCTACACTGGATATGGGGCTTGCGGTTGGAGCTGTGGGTGGTGCAGCGCAAGCCACCCATGGTCACTCTGTAGGCGCAGGCGCCCTGTGGAGGCCACAGTGACAAGCAAATCCGGATGCCGCTAATCATATATATATATATATATATATATATACCATTTTCACTTTAAACTGGACGTTTTTCAAACCAAAGTGGACATTTTGCAAACCAAAGTGGACATTTTGCAAACCAAAGTGGACATTTTGCAAACCAAACTGGACATTTTGCAAACCACATTGGACCTTTTGCAAACCAAAGTGGACATTTTGCAAACCAAACTGGACATTTTGCAAACCAAAGTGGACATTTTGCAAAACAAAGTGGACACGTTGCAATCTAAGTAGCATCTCGCCAATTTGTTGGTAAGAAACGAGCAGTAAGACTGCTGAATGATGTTCAGCATATACATTGTGATGACGTTAATACACCGGCATTTTGTAAGCAGCGGGCTACACTGTAAAACATTTGCTTGATCGTGAGCAGCGACCGAAGTTCTGAACTATGCTCCCCTCTCCCCATTGACATTTGCCTAGTTGGTGTGCAGTGCCCATACGCATCAACCTGTGTTGGTGTGTGACAATTGGAAAATCGGACGTCCGAATCGTAATTGTGTATCAATCATTTTGTGAGTGGATTGCGATGCGCAATCTCAATGTGCACCGTTATTCTCATTAGAGAGAACCTTGTCCGATTCGGTCAATGGGACCATGTCGGATGAAGCAGGTAGGCGGTATCCAAGCTTCGCCCGTCTCTCTATTAGCTTTCGCAACTGACACGTTATTGCATCAGCGTAGGCTGTAATTACCCC